AGATCCTTTTGTGATTTCTGCAGTCTTTTCCTTTGATCTTTCGCCTTTTCTTTACAGAGTTGGTTCTGGACATTACACAGCATATGCAACTCATGAAGGCCGCTGGTTCCATTTCAATGACAGTACTGTAACACTGACTGATGAAGAGACCGTTGTGAAGGCAAAAGCCTACATCCTTTTTTACGTGGAGCGCCAGGCCAAAGCTGGATCAGATAAACTTTAATACCTCCTCTAAATCATTATTCAACTATACCGGACAAACATTTCCAATTTTCCATAAATACTTGATCCAAGATTTAATTTCATTAAGCACTTTCAAATTTCCTGTTTTGGGTTTAGTTTTGTTAATTGTAGTGACTTATTGAACATGGCACCAACTAATTTTTTGTTGTTGTTCTACCAGAAAACCTCAGCAGACATTTTGATTTGCTGCTTTAGTTGTAATAATTCAGTTTTTATATGTAGTTTCCAGAACTTAGTTCTATTTGACTTTTTATATTAATGTTTTCAGTTCTCACTTTGAGGCACATTTACATCAATGCTTTTGTGACTCCAACATGCTGAAAGTGTTCCTGGGTGTGAGATGGATGTAGCTGCCTTTCACAGCTGACAGAGATAAGGCTGACTCCAGCAAGGGCCATGGGTGCTGGGTTCTGTGGCCCATGAGATTTCACAGTGACTGCTCAGTAGTCATTCTTTTTGACTGTAAGAGATAACAGAGGACATCTCTAAGTAGAGGGGGTAACTGCTGTGGTGATTGTCTCTCAGGCTGCTGTTAATCAGCACTAAATAAATTTGTTGGGTCAGTTTACCTGTATTGCAAGTTCAAGAATTACTCTTTTGTTGGGGTATTTTTTGTATTTTCATGGGAGAGGTAGTATGTATGGGAGTACTAAGACCAAATACATGCAGTGTTTAAAACACTGTGACTCAGCTCCATAGTCTAGGTATATTTGTATTTTTGCAGCATCTAAATCCTATTAGTTGCAGCTGCATGTCTGCTTCAGACTTGTTCCGTGTTTGGCCATCTGAGGTTGAGGATGAACCTCCAGAATTGACTGTGACTGTTATCTACACTTCAGGTATCACTGGGATCTGCTTCTGCAGGAGGACATTGGAGTCATTGCTAGTTTGTGTTTAACTGAGAGCTGAGCAAATTGAAAATATTCTTTAGATAAGTAGAGTTTATATTCTTGAATATGTTTTAAAATTGTCAAGAAAAATAGATTTAACTCAAGTTGAAATTTGGACCCAGAATCTCATTTAGTTAGAGAAGTTGGTAGTGGTCTAGCCAGCCCTTTGATTTTGGGGTGCTGGTGATGCTTCTTGCAGATTTAGACTACGTGCTGTTCTTATGCCCACCTGTTGTCCCCATCATTGTTTTCCTCCCTTCTCTGCTCTACAGGGACAAAAGGCATTTCATGTTAAGCTAGCCAGGCCGTCTTTTTAGTATTTTTCTACTTAAAAAAAGAAAGCAAGCTTTTCACAGCATATGAATATAAGAGAATGTTTGGTGTCTTTCCTCTTAGGTCAGCTTAAAGTTGCGGAGATGTGGTCATTTCCATTTTAACATTAGCTAGATAAGTTCCCCATGCTCTCAGCACAGAACACATTAGCTGGAACATACTTTAACATGAAAGGAGATTAGTTACATCACATGTCTAGGACTTTCCACAGTGCCTGGAGTCCTCTTGGACAACACTGTTAATGTACAATGATAATTAGTTTGAACTGCATGAAACTGTGATATTTGACTGGTTTTGCTCTACAGAGATGAGTTTCACATGATTTGTTCTAATCAGTACACTGACACCATTTCTAATTGAACCTGATATGTGCATGTCCCCTGAGTTCAGGCTCTTCTGCTTAGTTCTAACACTAGTTCTGTAGTCTCTGACTGGGCAACTGTGAGACTTATGCATTAAAGACATGGGTGGAGGTGCTGCTGGTGAGGAAAAGCTGTCTTTCAGACCATGTGGAACTCAACAGCACACTGGAATAACTTACTGGAGAAAGTGAGCTTCAGACAGGCAGTGCTGTTGGCTTGCAAGTACTATACGTCTGTTTGAATTTTTGTAGCTTAAGCATCAATGTTTGAGTGGTATCATGAAGACTCTTCAGAAAAGGGACTGGACCCATTTGAATTGTGCATCTGAACACCCATGATGTAAATGTGCCTATTTGTAGCCTTATCACATCTCTGTTAACTGCTGACCTGGGCTCTGCCCACACCGTGCTAGCTCTAGCCTGTATGTGGCTTCTTGCTCAGAGCTGGTGCTTTGGCAAGGCCTCATCCCATGGCTCCTTGGAACAGGAAACTCTCCTAAGTCCTCCCACACAGGGGGAGACAGAAACACTTTGTGGCAACACAAATCTCTCTCCATGGTGGAGAAACCTTTGCTTATCCACTGTATTCTACTCAGTGTATAGTGCTGACAAATGTAATGGAATTAAACCAGTCACGTATGCTGGCCCTGGTTAAGTGTGAAATGTGTGTCTCACCTGTGGAACCTCCTAGTGTGGCTTCTGGGACTGGGACATACTTACTTCTTAAAAGTCAAGCCTCCTCTCCTTCATCGGCTTAGTGTACATCAGTCTGCTTAGAAATGCATATCCCAGTGTAACCTCCACTGTGCCCTAAACGCTCATGTCCCCTCTGTTGCTGAAGTAGCCTCTGCACTCAGGCTGGGAAAGGCTCAAGGCAAAGCCTGAACCCACAGCCCGGGAGCAGCCGTAAGAAGATGCCACAGTGCAGGAAGGGAAGAGCAGCTGGCTGTGTCCATAGCCCAGGGTCTTTGCATCTCATTGTAGAGAACTAGAACCTCCCCCAGGTGAGAGTGTGACAGGCTGCATTCCCCAACTGGTGGTTATGCCCTGCTACGATTATTTGCCCTTAAAACCTAGTTTGTATGATACCAAGAGGATTAATTAATTATTCGAGTGACTGATCCATTCAAGTTGTAATCACGTTCCTCTCCTGCTTCACCAGCCTGACTGTTCTGTGGAAAGTGTCATTAAAGGTGTCTTCTCTTTCCTTTGTGACCTCTGAACTCCTTTCTGTGGAGCTGAGTACATGATGCACTAACTCCAGCTCTGGGCCCTGGCAGCCAGCAGGGCTCAGTTTTCACAGGAGTGCCCCCTCCCCCCCACAGCTTTGTTCTTGGGCAAGATGAAGTGAGTGGTGCTGCACACAGGATCCCTCCCCACCCCCCGAAATCTTCATAGAGTCCTGTGACCACTGGCCCTACAAAAGTACAGCCCCTTTTCCTCCTTCAAAACCAGACATGACCCTGAGGAACCAGTTTTTGGGGTTTTGAGCAAAGGCTGTTGGTTGTCTTTTAAAGTGAAACAGGCATGTGTGTGCTGCTGTTCAACATTGTGCCAGGGCAGACCCTGTCCCCACCTCTCACCCACAGGAATACCTACTGCACACACCTGCTGCCTATCTATCTGTCAGTCTTCTAAAACTGAAGGCAGCGGCGCCTTGGCCCTTATTGTCCCGTGTATCCCCCACCCCAATTCCCTTTTGGTGGCAGTGCTAGTCACAGGCTGCTGCTTCTGCTGCCAAACATCTGAGCTCCATCAGCTGCCCTGTCCACACTAGCCATGTGCAAACCACCTAGTCTAGGATAGGAGGGTCAAGGCTTCACACAGGCCCCCTGCCAGCCTGCTGCAGCTGCAGGGCTGTGGTGTAGTGTGGCTGGGAAGCCACGGTGAACATCTCAGCAAGTGTGATTACAGACTTTGCCTTTTCTGAAGCTGAAGTCAGCTGTCCATGAGTAGTGTTGATGAAGAGGACCTGAGGCAGCATGGAGACACCTGCGCTCTCTAAAAGCCACCTGTGGTGCAGTGGGGGGATGCACAGCTGGACAGACCCCAGAGGTGTCAACTTAATTCTCAACAGCTCAAACGCTTAGCCTGAAAAACCAGCAGCAGCCTGTTAGCCCTTCGTTGGGAAATGCTTCCTTTCAGCTGTTCTTCAGGTTACATTGTTTTTGAGAAAAGTCACCCTTGTACATTGTGCCCTTGGCACAGTGGGTACAGGAGGATCAGCTGAGAATGGCTTCACGGGGAAGGACACTGACTGTGACAGACACTCCCTAGCTGCCTTTTTCTTGGAAAGTCACATCTGCACAGGCCTGACTGAGCCTCGGTTCCATAGCTACCTTATCTGGGTCACTCCAGACCCTGAAAATGTATCTTCTGATTCCAGTTCAAGGAGGAGCGTACACAGAGGGGACCTGGGTGGTGGTATCCTGAGCTGGCAGAGGGAAACTTCTCATGTCACCACTGCAAGGGCAGAAGCAGCCTCCAGAGCTGCACTGCATTAGTGCCTACAAACCATCCCACTGATAGGGCAGCAGGGCTGGAACTCGCAGCAGGGAACAGAGGTAGTTCAGGGCTGGGGAGGCAGGTAGGAGAAAGTGGGCCGCCATTCAGGCCTCTGGTAGTTGAGGAAAGGAGAGCCTCAACAGTGCTACCTCCAGGCCACTCAACAGTGGGAGAGCACTCACAGGGATCCTGGGACTGTCTTAACCAGCAAACAGAGATTAAAATACTTTGAAATTGTTTTGTGTAGTGTTGTACTGAAAGCTACTTCATCTGTCCTGTCATTTGGGGACATACAGGCTAGAAGTAGGATATAGAATGACAAATTGTAGAGCCAAGTAAACTTTTAAAGAGCTTAAAGTATGGCCATGCAGTCACACATGCAAGCCTTGGAAAGATAAGCTAAGCTGCTTCAGTTAAGTCTTTCATGAAAAACCCAAGGTAAAAATAGAGCCTTGTGGGGGGCCAAGGCAATCCCTATGCCCACTAAGGACGTGGGATTTCGAAGGCAGCGCAGGCTCATGTGGAAATCATCAGTCTCCTGAGCAGAGGTGGCCCGAAGGTTCTGCTTCCAGCTCAGGACACGCTGCCCTTAACCCTGCAGACACAACAGGCCTTTCCCTGGTAAGAGTGGAGCAAAGCCCACAGAATCCAGCAGTTAACATCCTCCATCCTCCCTTGTTAAGCACAGACTGCAAGCCAAGGCAGAGTCTTCCTGGCCAGCCACCTCCAAGGAAAATGCCCCGGGAAAAGCCAAAGCGCTCTCTGCTAACGCCATTGTCAGCTAAGAGAAGAAATCCCTTTTAAGGAAACCAGTTAAGTTCAACAGGCTGCTTTTCTGCCAGGACTTCCAATCCCAGTGAACATAAGCTGAACCACAGACTGCCGCATGTATGTCTAGATCCTGGCTTTGCTCCCCCTTCAGAGCCTCGGCACCAGTTGTTGGCCAAAAATAAACACCATTCCTCAACCATATATGTCCAATGGCCCTGAGCTAGGGAGGAGCAGCAGGAGGCAGGTCAGACCCTGGCTGGATGCACTCACGTGTGGCCACCACTCACCATGCACATAACCCAGCTCAACCGGGAGTGCCTGCTGCACCTCTTCTCCTTCCTGGACAAGGACAGCAGGAAGAGCCTCGCCAGGACCTGCTCCCAGCTCTACGATGTGTTTAAGGACCCTGCGCTCTGGCCCCTACTCCACTTCCATTCCCTCACTGAACTCAAGAAGGACAACTTCCTGCTGGGCCCAGCGCTGCGCAGCCTGTCCATCTGCTGGCACTCGAGCCGCGTGCAGGTGTGCAGCATCGAGGACTGGCTCAAAAGCACCTTCCAGAGGACCATCTGCAGCCGCCACGAGAGCCTAGTCAGTGACTTTCTCCACCAGGTGTGCGAGAGGTAGGCAGGCCCTTGGCTCCTAGGGACAGGGAAGTGCAAATTACTAGACCAAGACGGCTTTGCCTCTGGGCACCTCAGACTAGGCCAGCCATGACTGGGTGCAGTTCTGAGCAAATGGGAAAAATCTTAAGGGTGACTACTGCTAGCCACCCTTTCAGCCTCCCAGGTCCTAGAACCGCTTCTGTAGCAGAGGAATTGGACTGAGCTGGGCAGCTGTCCTCTCTAGCAGCCATTAAGTGCTAGCTGGGTCTAGCTGGGCCCAGATTTTCAAGGTCAGGCCCTGGGAACAGGCTTCTGATAGAGCAATCAGTGAGTCCCCCACAGCCTGAAAAAGGCTGAGGAGGAGAGGCAGGAGAGGATGGGCTCAGGTCAGCTGGACCAGCCGACCCCAGGAGTTGCAGCGTCCCTTCAGGGTTGCGTTCACACTCACAAGGCCCTGCAGGGTGTTTTCATCTTCAAAGGAACGAACTGACACTCAAAGGTGATGTGATTTGCCCAAGTCTAGGGTTGCCAGATTTTAGCAAATAAAACCACAGGCCACCAATGTTTTTTTCAGATTGTGACTAATTTTTTGATATATGTGTACCCCCAAACATCCTACCCCAGCACAGGCTGAGCCACTAGGTAGACTCCTCTGTTGTCGTGGCCTCCTGGATAGAGCAGCCCATCCTGCCTCTGAGGAAAAGCTCCAGCAGACTAGCAGGCTCTGGCTGGGGATGGAAAGCTAGGCTCAGTAGGTTTGCTGCCCCAAGGTTAACAGCTGCTGCTTGCTGGCAGCACAGGAATGGGGGTAGGGAGAGGGAGTCATGGCCCACTTTTCATTTGTTCTGTTATGGTAAACTAGTAAGCAGAAAAAAGACGGATGAGGGATGGGCATCGATTAGCACAAGTCAGACCATTTTGGTGGGTTTCCCAAGGCCAGAGGGTGATACGGGGTGAGAGGAGGCTGCTCTGAAGTTGTCCTACTCTTGTAGGACTTAATTCCCTAAGCCAGCAGGTGGGGAGGGGACCTCCCAAGCCATAGGAGGAGTCAAGCAAGGGGCCCTGGTCTCACAGAGAGCAAAAGGGCTTTGAGTGCCAGCTCTACTATCACCCAACTGTGTGAGCCCAGCTCAAATGCTAAACTTTCAATCTTGGTTATTCTTCTGTAAAATGGGGTAGATTCTCAGGGTAAGAGGATTAAGTGGTAAAAGTAGCAGCTGGCACGTGATGGGTATGGATAAAATCTGTGGAATCTTGTTCTGTCGGGAAAAATAGCGGAGAATGGCCAGTCAGGAGAGAGTCAGCTGACAAGTCTGCTTTTTTCCCACCTCAGAATTAGTCTACATGTTCTTGGGGAAAGGGATCCCACCACATCTCAATCTTCCTAACCACTCTGAAGGTATCCATTTGTCCCACTTGACAGATGAGGAAGTCGTTCAGAAGTTTTGAACATTTGGCCTGGGTCCCACAGCAAAGAAGTCCCAGGCCAGTCACTTGAGCTCTCTTGGGTCAGTTTTTTCATTTACAAACTGGGGAGCTGCACTGAAGAAGGTACCATGGACTTGAGGAAGGCTGAGCTCAGTGTGTGACATGCAGCCAAGCCCAGTGTATTTTATTTCCTTATCCTCTTTCCGAGGCACAAGGGAGCAGAGCTGGCTTAGTCAGGGAGATCAGGGGAGGCAGAAAGGAAAGGGCCTCCACTCCAGCCCAGTCTCTGCTCCCTCTGAGTCCAGGGCCCACGCCTGAGCAGCTCCCCCTGCACAGCAGCGGGCTGGTCCTCTTCTAGGAAAGTGGGCTATGCCTGTGTCCAGGAGGCCCTTTGCAGGTTGCTTACACCCCCTATCTCAGTTCTCACAAACCCATATAGGTAGACATTATCTCACCTGTCACAGGGGAAACAAGACTTAGTGACAAGGTCAAGGCCACGTCTAATTTTGCTCAAGATCTAGCTCCAGATGCTGGTGGGGCTGACGCAGAGGGGCCTCCCAGCTTTCAGGGACAGTTCCCCTGGCTGTCCCCTTCGAGGCCTCGTACTAGCAGCTGTGGATCCTGATCTTTTCCAGGCTGCCTTCCCAGGGGATGCAGTTACCGCCCCAGCTAATCGAGCTGAAACTTGGGTTCTAGAACCTAGACCCAATACATTTCCCAAGGAAACCTCTCCTCCCGCGTGTCCTGCTGGAAGCCAGATCCAGTGGTCACCCCCAGGCAACAAGTCCCGGAAGGACCAAAGACACAAAAGTCGTCCCTCCTGGAAGCATCCCCTTTGTCCCATCAGCTCTGGGGGGACTTGGGGACCGAGGCTCCGAATGGGAATTCTGAAACTCCGGGGCAGTGGGGTGCGGAGGAAGCAAGGGCAGGGACAATGAGCCGGGAAGCCCTGGCTGGAACCCCAGGGCGCTCGGGACCCGGAATGACCAGGGGGCCGGCGGCCCTGCTGACGGCTTTCTCCCTGCAGGTGCCCCAACCTGGCTTCCGTCACGCTGTCGGGGTGCGGCCATGTCACCGACGACTGCCTGGTACGCCTGCTGCTCTGCTGCCCGCGCCTGCGCGCCCTGCGCCTGGAGAACTGCGCGCGCGTCACTAACCGGACGCTGGCGGCCGTGGCGGCGCACGGGCGCGCGCTGCAGACGCTGCACGTGGACTTCTGCCGCAACGTGAGCGCCGCCGGCCTGCGCCGCCTGCGCGCCGCCTGCCCGCGCCTGGTCCTGCGCGCCGAGCACAGCGCGGCCATGATCCCCGACCAGCACCCGTGCCCACCCGCGCCCGGCGCGGCCCTCCGCAAGCTGCCGCCGCGCTAGACGGAGGGTGGGCCGCGCCGTCCGACCGTCCCGGCCTCGAGCCCGGGGCCTCCACCGCTGCCTCCTTAGTCCGTGTCCCCGTCTGCACGGCAGGGTATGCTGTCTACCTCACGTCCGAGGCTTGGGAAACACTCGGTGGTTGTCACTGAACTCCGCACCGTTCCCCGCCCCCGCCATCCTCGGGGACTCCTGCTGCTGGGGTCTACGTGGCCCCGGTGGAGAGGGCCTGAGCCCCCGAGCTCGCGGCTGCGCTCTGACAGGCCGGGGACCCCGGAGGACCCCCGCCTCCGGGCTTCCGCAACCCACCACCTGTGACGCCACGGGCTGCAGGAGGGGGAACCTGGGGCTGAGCCAGGACAGGAAGGTTTGCTCGCCTGGAGCAGATGTGATCCCAGCAGTGTGCACAAGCCATTCTAGAAAATCTCCCGTTCTTACACAAAGTGCTTACTTATCCATATTGTCTTTCATTCTCATAAGGGAAGCAGACCATCTGAAAAAAGAAAGCCAAGCTAAGTATTTGTGGTGATCAGGCTGTGTCCTGCTGTGAGTTACTCCATGACGCAGAAAACTTGGCATGCCTGTGACTCCGTTTAATACTTCATTTTGAGTGCAGATATCAAGGCAGAATGACTGCATCTTGTTCTTATTTAAGTACAACCATCTGTCCAACACAAACCATGAAGCACAGACTGATAAATATTTATGCAAATATTACCATCTATGAACTTAAATGAGGAACACATGGACACACTGGGTACACCAAAATCCTATCAGACCAGGCCTGCGAGTTTTATCAAACACACTAGACCAATGGATTATGTGAACCCCTCACCTGGATCATATAAAAGGAAGGGCACCTGAAATATAAATTGGGACCTTAATCCATAAAGCCTGTTACCCACCAAGAGTTTCTCTACTCCCTTGTCAACAACATATGTAATGTGTCTGTTACCTCCTTATCACAAGAGAAAAAAGCCCACCAGGTAGAGGCTAATGGCAGGATGCTCTCAAGGACAAAGTGGCCATCAATCTAGGATCTCAGATGGAAAAACCTTAAGACTATGAAGAAATAAACCATCCTCATGACTAAAAAGGACCAGGCCTCAGGCTGTTCCCACAACACAACGTGATAAAATGACCGCTCTTTTCTCTGTTGGTAGTCAGTGTTGTCCCCTTTCCTCAACCCCTTTTGCCTTCCAATTAAAACTTTTGCCTGAGAGTTCGTGCTCTACTCTGTTTTTATTTCTATACTCACTGGGATGAAAATTCCTTCAGGTCATCACGATCACCAAACTGTCACTGAGCCATTAGGTATATAACCATGAATTTCTGTTCACTTGGATCAACTGCCTTGAGCTCTGCATTTGGCAGCCCTGCCCCCCAACTACTTGGTGACTGAGTTCTGGTTAGTGTCTCATCTAAACAACCTGCAGTGGCTCTTTGCACCTGTATCTGCTTTGGCCCTTGCCTTTATCGAGGCCCCTTTGAGCCCTGCAGCCACTTTCATCATTTCTTAGTCATTCTATAACCTGTGTATCATTGTATGAAGTACAATCTAATCTAATTGAGATTAGAATTAAAGAGCCCATGTTTGCCAATGGTCATGAGTACCAAATCAGCCTCCTTCCCTTTTTTTTTTGGCAGTACTAGGAATTGAACCCAGGCCATGCGAGGCAGGTAGTCTTACCACTTGAGTCATGCCACTAGCCCATTTTTGAGACAGGGTCTCTCACTACCCTTGCCAGGATTGGCCTCTCCTGTCTCTGCCTTCTGAGTAGAAGCTGGGATTATAGGACTAACCTCCCCCCCCCTCCCCGCCACCCAAAGCCAGGAGTACCAAGTCAAGGTGAGTTAAAAGTCAACAAAATTGACATAGCTTGTGAATTTGTTATTCAATACGTTCTGACATTGTGGAAAGACACAAATGTGTTTGTCAGCACAGCTTACTGACAATATTTAAAAATAAAAGCAGTAGCTTTGGTTAAGTCCTTTAGATAATGGAGCCATTATAAGCTGAAACAAAACCAGATTTTCACCTGCTGGATTTGTTGGATGTGGGTACATGCCTGGACTTTCAATGTCAATTTCAGGGCTTTAGTCACTGATGCTCCACCTTCAATAAGGGCTCAGCCATCCAGCAGCTTTCTGGTCCCAGGTACACTGGGACCACTGGGTAAGTGGCAGAGGCAGGGAGCACCATGGCGGGCATTGCTCATGGTCAGCTCCACCCACCCCCACTATAACTAAGAGCCTTCAGCCATCTGGGGCAGGTGTTGCTTTGTGAAGGGTCATTCTGGTTCCTACAAGGTTCCTTGATTTGCTGCCTTTAGGCAGCAAACAGAAGGAAAGTTAGGCAGAAACATCAAGGAAAGAAACAAATTCTGTTGATCTGGAGCTTAGTCTAGTGGTGGAAGAGACAGTAATTGACACATAAGAAGATAGTACTGCAGGGTGGTGCTGGGGAGCATGGGGATCACTGGCAAGACTGGAGAGGGATGGCACTTAGAAGGGGTTGACTAGTGTAAACCTCATTGAGGAGGTGGTATTTGTGGTATGAAGTCAGCTGGGAACCAGCAAGCCACCCAAAAGATATAGTAGGCCAAAGGACGGAGTGTGAAGACCCAACAAGGAGCTTCACTGGTGTTAGGAGAGCTGCAAGAGGTCCTCATGGCTGCAGCAGTAAGGAGGAGCTGAGCAGAGACCAGAGAAGGGAAGGATGGTGGGGACCGTGAATGGACAGATTATGGTGAGGATGAAATGAATGCTGGAGGTCAACTCATCCCAGCAGGAGCCAGGGCCCCAAGTACAGAAGAAATGCAGGTGGAGTTTCAGAGGCTGTGAATTTTTCTCGGCACATGTGCACAGTGGAGGCCCACTCAAGCCCATGCCACTCAAGGGTTCCATAGGGCCATTTCCAGTTTTCCTTTCCCTCCATTGCTCTGGACTCTGGAGAGGGGCCTTATAAGAACTTACTTTTCTTCCTCCTACTGAGAGCAAGGTTGGAAGCAAGCTCAGGGTGGGAGGGGTTGTGTCTAAACCTGAGCCACCTAAACCACAGGCCCTTACTTTCACCATCTCCAGTAAATCCCAGTTCTCAGAAGGTCCTGTTTGCCCTGGGATCAACAGGATCCTGGCTTCAGACTAATAGATCCAGGTTTCCATTGCATCTCTTTCATTTTCCAGCCTCCTAACAAACCCGTTTCCTCACCTGTGTTTGTTGGGGCAGCTAGAGAACATGGTTTGCAGGCTCTTCAGTGGATCAGGATTGTGTCTATAAAGCAGGTGGAGCTTCAATGGGATAACCTGTTTCCCCTACAGCCTACTTCTCTGTGGAAGCTCTTTAAAAATGAGGGTGGTATGAGGCCTACCCCCACATATCAAGGCAACAGTGATCACAGAAACAAAGCTGTGCCCACACCTGTGTTCAATACTGTTTCCAGAGCACTAAACTGAACCAAGGCCACTAGTGCTCCCAGAAGGCGGGCACTGACAGGGACCCACGACTCCCCACTCGGCCTTCTAACAGCCACTGTCCACGATGACCAGGTGTCCCACTTACTCCAACGGCTCTCAAGGTCTTCCCTTGGGGTTGTACAGGAGGAGGCACTGCATGCTAAGTTAATGGGCCAACTTGTTTCTCTCACAACATTTACTGCCACAGGCTTGGCTGAGTCCCTTCCTCTGCCCTGCTTTGGGAGAAAATGTGCAGTCGGGGCTGAGGAATGCTCTTGAGTGATGGCTTACCTTGCTCTCCATAGCCACTCCCAAGGTAGGACTTCTTGAAGCCTGTTTATCTCTGTTAAATGGAACCAAATCCTCACTATGACAAAGTTATGAGATTATTCTAGAGGTACTGTGCCTGGAAGGCTGGAGCAGGGAAGGACGTCCTTACATTTAGGGAGGCCTATACAAGGTAGGTGTCTGGCAGGACTCACAGGGTCCCAGCGCCAGGAAGAACAAGCTGGGTTCTACATGTCAGTGATGTAGGGTTACTTTGTGGAGGTCTGAGCCTTTGTGCTGAGCAGCTCAAGCTCCCACAGCTTCTGATCAACAGGTACTGCTCAGCAAAGAAACACGAGACCCCTTCCTGGAACAGTAAGCCAGGCCAGGTGGGAACTGCTAGAGCCATCTGGAAGTGGCTCGGGGGCCATGTGTGTCCTTGTAGGCTGGGCGCTGCCCCATCACATCGGAACCTGGGCCAGCAGTGACCAGGGCCACTTCGGTCAGGGCTCCAGTCCCGGGAAGCAGAAGGTGGGGCTCTGAGGCTTGTCTTGCAGAGCCACACACCTTTTCAACACAGGCTGAATGTCTGGAGGGGGCTGACTAAGCCTCCTAGGCTCTGCCACAGTGCTGGTGCACTAGTGACCCACTGGTTTTTCTCTCCTGGCCTAGGACATCCCTTACCCACACCTGTCTGAAAGGACATCATCTGATTCCAGAGCCCCCTCCCTCCAGCTGAGCTCGCCAGATGTCAGACTTCATCTAGCAAGGATCACAACACTAGAGGCCCAGAAAAAAAAGCCACACCTGAAAGGCATCTGGGGAGATCTCAATTTTAAAGACTTAAGGATTAAAAAAAAACTGCAAGTGTTTGTTAGCTGAGTGAGGCTACCACAAAGGAAACTGCCCAAATCTCTGCAGGGGTTGAACATGCACCAAGGAAAATCCCTGCCTCAGGCCCACTGGAACAACTCCAGTCAGGTCCCAGGGCCTCTTTCTATCCCCTAGAGTTCTCAAAAGTCAAGAGAAGGAAGGAACAGGTTTCCAGCCTGGAACAGCATGTTGTAAAACTGCATCTGTGCAGACTCCTCTTGCAGGTTAAGACCTCCTGAGAAGCAGTCTGTGAAGCCTGACCAAGGGGCCTGGACCTGTGGGTGCCAGTCTGTTGGGGAGCTCCTAACCTTCAGGCCTGAGTAAACCATGGCAGCAAAGGTGAGCCTCATAGGGGTTGAGGCATTCTGTTCAATTAAAATAATCCTGGGAGACTGCAGATGTATCCTTCAGCTCTGCACACCCTCAGTCTAGCAAGAGGAAGAGTTGTTTGTCATCAGAAAGCAGCCAGAGGACCCCAAGGGACCTCTCTCCTGGCCTGGTTTCTTCTCACCTCAGAGTGAATGCTTCAAGCCCACTGGAAGCAGCTTGCAACATGGACTTGGTGGAGATGAGGGAAACAAGCTGCTCCAAGCCTTGCTCACACACCAGCATCTACAGTCTCACAGCTGCTCTCAAAGATGGCCCTATACCCAGAACACATGCTCATTCTGATGCTCCTGAGTGGATAAGCACATCACCCAGGGATAGGGGCTGAGTTCAAGAAGCAAGTGTGACCCCTTCCCAGACCCCTGCACAACTCCCTACCATCCATCATTCAAGGAAGTAAAAGTCATACACTGATTCTCATATTAATTTACATTTGTTCACTCATCCACAGCTACTCATTTATACATGCCAGTGTCTACAGATGGATAGCTGTCCTTTCTGTACCACTTCCCACTGTTTTTCAAGCCATCACTTGCTCATTCTGTCTTCAAATCTTCACCAGCAGGGCCAGAACCTCATGGTGTTGGCTTAGTGGAGCTGCCCCACACCAGGTATGCTGGTGCCTGTCAAAGGAGGAAGGGCTGGGTGAGTGGCTGAAGCATGTGCCTAGAA